GGACACACACACGTGCGTCTAGGTTCTCGCGGCTGCCCAAGCACCACTCGAAGAAGCCCCCTCTTCCCCACCCTCAGCCGCCAGGCATCACTTAGGACCAGGCCAGTCTTCTGAGTGGTCGTGTGATCCCAAGTCCAACTTCTTCCTCTTATTCTCCGTTCCTCTGTGTACACAATAAACTATTCCTTCTATTCTGGCCTCCATCGACTTCTTCTCTACCAAGTAACCATGGTCTGAAGATCGCAGTGACTAGGGTTTAACTCACTTAACCACCTGCGATAGGTCCATCTGGACGACCTTACTGTCTTATAGTGTCTAGCTTCCTAGTTTGTATGTCGAAAAGCAGGAAGAAAATTCGAGTTGATAAGAAGTCGCGATGCCCAGTTCGGTTTTTAACAGGTATATACTTATTTAGCTTCACATTTTCCCAATTGCGTTTTAAACCTAATTCACATTTTGTACTGATGGATTATGGCTGCGCGATGAACTCCGTATGATTTTAAGTTAAAGTTGGTATAACTGATCGCTTTTGGGCCGATAATGGCAAGTTCTGCTTCTACACCATGATTTTCTATATAAAACTTGCAACCCGCCAAAAACCACGAAAAACAAAAAAGTAAATTTTAAGACTTTATTTTCGCAAAACACGTTTTTCAGGCATATTTTGCATTGTCCCATAAAAGTAGCCAGCACGTTCATCATGCACAAAATTGAATTAAATTGTGGAACCATATCAGTGTGGCCATAAGGAGGAACTTTATGAGAGCTGGGGCTTCCAATTTGGCCATACCATTGCAGTAGTCACCTTTGCAATAACACAACTCTCGCACCATGCCTGCACCCCCGTATATTTTTTGGCATCCCAGAGAGATGGTTTCAGGTATCTCAGCACAATTTCTGGTTACGACCGTGACGACCAACTGTTCTCTCCCCAGACCGGCGGCTACACGGTAACTCTTGGTGACCATTTTGAAGCAGCCATTATAACGATTCTCCTCACAGAAATCATCACCTGACTGGAAGTCAGCCAGTGCGGATCGGTTCACGCGCTCAGCACAGAGTTCACCCATTGCCTGGGTGCCAAACTCCGAACCAACGCCACCTGCACCGATAACATTACCTCCGAATTGGTTAATCATGACCACGTCCTTCTGGGCGTTTATATTTTTTCCGATCATGAGATTTGCGTAGTTATCACAACGGTAGCATGTAGCTGGTGGCACTGGATCCGGTAGAAGGGGTGGTACACGATCTCGAGACTGACGAAGGGTGGTGAACGCACAGCTTCCTAGGACCACAGCGAGAAGGAGATATACAGGGAGCCAGGGTTTTCGAGTCCAACCAGCTAATTGCTCACACTTTTGATCATTGCGTTTTTCCGGATTGTCTTCATACTCACCGTCGGGTGTGTCGTCAGGAATTTTTTCCTAGAAGAAGAGATTGGTATTAATACTGCGAATCGCTGAGTAAATACCTAAATGAGTAATGCTCCTGCGATGTTTTTTTGGATGGAGCGTATTAATGAATGAAGACTAAGTATTTTACTTACAGTTCTGCGAGGCCATCTGTTTACACTTTAAAGTTAAGTAAAAATACGGAATTTTCCGGAAGCGCAAGTTAATTGAAAGTGTTTTTTCCACAGTTGCATGACGTGAATCCGACCTTTGTCTGAGTGATGACTTCTATGAGATCCTGATGGTGAAGTTATTTTGAGTAAAGCAATAAAAGTCTGTCATCAGAAATCAGATATCTTAATGTTGTCTGCACTTTTAGAAGGCAGGCACTTTTATCAGCAGACTATACACAATCATATTTTATAGGAATCGTTGTCCAGACAACATAAAAAATCGTTTTCCAATAGGAAGGGATTTTACCCATTTCTACGAACAATCAACGACGATTAAGTCTGCAGATCTGTATAATTTCGTCGACAATAAACTTGATATTATTATGGGGGGAGGGTATGGCAGCTTTGCTTAATTCAGTTTACCCAGTTGCGTAAACTTCGCGGCCTCGGTGGGTGTCGAATCCGCACAACAGGGAAGGCTTTTGCGCAGCCAACACTCTACCATTGAGCTACAAGACACGCCGTGCGCCGTGAATTTAATCACACTTGGATCGATTTTACCCGCCCAACTTACTGCTCATATGGAATCCACCATTAAGGAACTTGACATTATTCGACACTACTTCTCTCTAGATATCCCTAATTTTGTAATAGCGGGCTATTGCGTTCGGTTGGCCTGTACTCATGTCCGGCGTTGATGGGGTCACGCTGTTACGGATCGCGTCTCTCCACGTGTGATGATCTGCGCTAGGGGATCTGCGAAGTTCATTTCATTTTCGTCTCCTGCAACTTGCATGGAATACAGAAGGTCCACATACCTATCCCTATTAAAATGGGCTTTATTGAACCGGAATTTACTGTCTCCTTTACACAAACAACAATGTCAGATCACGAAAGCAGCACTTAAGTGATGGGACGAACAATGAAGCACCTGTTGTTCTTCGAAGGCCCAACATGTATTCGTGACGTAAGTGTGGCTGGTCGGTAAAACGCATTCACTCGCCATGTAGAGATCTTTATTGCTTGCGTATTTGGTAATCGGAATAAGCAAGCATACCTGATCAGTCAAAGGTTAAAATGATAGTTTTGATATGTCTGAGAAGATAAAATTACTTAGGGTGATAAGTTGTCAGGATGGAATAAAACAGTTTTCTCTCACACAAAACCAGCCTCTTCACCCTCTCCTGGAAGCGCTGGATTCCGTAGGCCGTAGCGCATTTTCTACTTGTCACCTCGCAGGACACGGTAGAAGTTTCTTTGGTATCAGTTTAAATTTAAGAGGCATGTATGCAATTTTTAATTTATCAAAGATGACCCCGTTGGAAAATATTTTTATGGACTAGACATCACTTCACGCAGGTTGACCCCCTGTAGAACGTTTTAAGTCGAAGAGGAGGTAACAAAAGGATTGTAAAACGACTAAACACTTGTTTATGATAATTTTTTTAGAATAGAGCAATGTGAGCGGGTTAATACAGGATACGAACATGAAAATTAAATTCGCCGCGAAAAGCACTCAGTTTGGTTCAAATATTGCACTTATATGGCTTATTTATATTTCGCTTAATTGATGAGGGCAGAATTCTCTATTCGATATTCGTTCTTAAAGATATTTAAATTCTGTGGCTGCAACCGTTTTAGTGACCTGGGCCTGTTTGTAATGTTTGAAGTCGGTAATGGATTTACCCTCATGGTAGGACAGCATGCAAATGCACAGTTTTTCCCTGGAGCTCTAGTGTAGAAAGCAAACAGGCCGTTGCATCACAAGCTTCGCCTTTATATCTGAGAAACTTGCTTAGATACTAGCATTAAATGAGGTTTAATAATACTAATAAATCCTTACGCCTAGTTATAATCTCTCGGTACCGTACGCAAAGCTTCGCGGCATATTCAGCTTGCAAACTATTCTCACGAAATAAGGCCTTTCTAATTAGTGCATGCATGAAAAAAAAACTTGCAAAATTGTTTTTCATGTTTTAACCAATTACCACCTATACTTTTGTTAGAAAACCCTGTCAAATGTACTGTATGCCGTCAAACAAAGAGCTGCTAAATAAAACCGGACCTAATATACCACTGTTAATTAGAAATTGTTGTCCAACTTTGAAATGAAAATTGACTACTTGCCATCTACGCGACAAAATTAAATAAATTATGGTTGAGCTATCTCAGTTTTCGTATTCTGCAAATTAATGATGGTGGCGATGCTATGGCATAACTCCGCAACAAAAAACTATTTACGTATACCTGTGGGACTACAAATAGGTTTATAGATTACCTCACTCTACCTCATCTTACGCTAATGAGCATATTAAAAGTCTCAGTACGACAGCCTTTGTCTAAACGCGTTTGGAGCTCAGAAATTCTGGACGACCTTCCGTTCGGCAAGAAGACGTCAAAATACTGGTGATAGCAGTAGGGCAGTGTTGCGTATGTAAAATTGATCTCGAATGCTTTCCAAAAGTGACCTATTGGTTCTATCTTATGATGTTTGTGAAAAAAGTATTCCATTCGTTCCACTAAAAGTTACGTTTTCTAGTCTTTCTTTCCAAACATGGAAAAAAATTGTACCTTTCCGATGAACATTAATTCCCAACTCTGGGGTGGGTTAATTACTAATTTGCCCCGTCAAACAATTTTAGACCAATAGAGTCCGAGAAAAAAGCGGTCTTTTTAGGTACCATTAACAATTATAAGCTGTTTAAATTAATAAACTCACCTGTTCGTTTGTAGCCCTTTGTCTCAAATCGGTTCGTTGTTTTCCTTCCAACAGCGAGACTGCCGGTGATTCCGATAAAACGGGCATGTTCTCAATGCAACAGCTACTGGCCATCTACCATCCCGCGAATGAGACTACCCACATTTGTATCCTCCTAGCTGCGTGTACGCAAGCATAATTTGGAATAAAAGTGCACACCCTCGACACACACACACACACACACACACACACACACACACACGCACACGCACACACCTTCGTGTCTTTCTAGTTTGTATGCCATTTGAATGAGCTAGCGCCGGCTGCTGAATGGAGCTCACCCAACGCCCAGTGAGCTAGCGGGCGTACGCTCTGGTGGACCAGTAAGCTCACAGCACATGTCTGGCCTGCTAGCAGGCTGAACAACGGCGTCTTGTTTGAGTTTCGTTCGCGTGACTGTCCTCGCCATCGCATGTTTACTTGCACATCGCCTGGACTGGCATGCCCTTGGACGCCGTGTTGCTAGTGGCAACCTCCAAAATACTTGTACCTTCCTCGCTGGTGTGTTAGCCGCATGCCACATTAGAGTAGCCAGATATAAGCCCCACATGAGCGGTATGTAGTTGCAGTGCGTCAAAAGCGGCAGAGTGGTTTTTTAATGGAACAAAACCTACCTGAAGTGCAATGGTAGGTTTGTGTCGAATAAAGCACTTATTAGAATGAGGTAAAAGGGAAAGACAAAAGCGGAGAAGTGTCAGGTGATACTACGGCGGCAGTAGCTGTGATAGAGGGCGGCGTTTAAAAGGAAATAAGTAAACTATCGAAAGAAAGTGAGGGCTAAAACTCACGAAGTTTTGACAGACATCGTTCATTGACCAGTGCTCACTCCTTCCGTTCT